CATATGCAAGCCAATCAATGTGTTGCATCATATTAATGGAATGAAAGAAAAAAACCATATGCTCATCTCAGTAGACGCATAGAAAAGTATCTGCCAAAATTCAAGATTTGTTCATGCTAAAAACGCCTAATGAATTAGGTGTAGAAGACAGGTACCTAAAAATAATGAAGGCCGTATATGATAAGCCCACAGCTAACATCATACTCAATGGTGAAAGGTTGAAAGCTTTTCCTGTAAGATCAGAAACAAGACGAGAGTGCCCACACTCACGACTGCTCTTCAACAAAGTGCCGGAAGTCCTTGCCAGAGAAATCAAGTAAGGAAAAGAAACACAGGAATCAGAATTCGAAAGGAAGAAGTTAAGTTGTCCTGTTTGTACCTGCATGATTTTATATGTAGAAAATCCTAAAGATTTCACCAAAAACTGTTAGGTCTAATCAACAAATGCAACAGAGTGGCAGGATATAAAGTTAACAGATTAAATTCAGTAGCATTTGTATATACTAACACTCAATTATCTGAAAAAGAAATAAAGAAAACAATCCCATTACAATCGCATCAAAAACAATATAATATTTAGGAATAATCTTAACCAGGCAAGTGAAAGATTTCTATTCTGAAAACCCCAGGACAATGATGAAAGAAATCAAAGAAGGTACAAAAAATGGAAAGGTATTCCATATTCATGGATTGGAAGAATTAATATAGTTAAGATGTCAATAGTACCCAAAGCCATCTAGAGATTCAATGCCCATCAGGATCTAACACCATTTTTTATAGTAGAAAAAACAATCCTACGATTTAAATGGAACCACAAAAGACCCCAAATAGCCACAGTAATCCCAAGGGGGAAAAATGGGATGCATCACACTTCCTGATTTTAAGCTTAGCTATAAAGACATATGTACCCTTATGTTTATTGCAGCATTATTTACAATAGCCAAGATATGAAACCAACCCAAATGTCCATCCATAGATGGATGGATAAAGAAACAGTGGTAACATGTGTATGTATGTACACATATATAATAGAATATTACTCAGCCATAAGAAAGAATGAAATCTTACCATTTGCAACAACACGGATAGATCTGGAAGGTATGATGCTAAGTGAAATAAGTCAGGGAAAGAAAAAAAAATATGATTTCACTCATATGTAGAATTTAAGAAACAAAACAAAGAAAAAAGAGGTGAACAAAAAAACAGACTCTGAACTATAGAGAACAAACTGTTGGTTGCCAGGGGGGAGGTGGCGGGTGGGAGGGGGGAGAGATGAAGGGGATTTAGAGGACACTTACCATGATGAGCACTGAGCAATGTACAGAACTGAATCATTATATTGCACACCGGAAACCAACATAACACTGTATGTTAACTATACTGGAATTACAAAAAACACCCGGGACACCTCTGCCGATCACCCAGTCTTTGTTAAAGAAAAGAGATGCTTTCTTCACAAAAACAGGTTGAGCTGACTCCCCAGGCCATGGTGCAGTGGGCCATCTGGTCAAGGACCGCACTTGAGGCACACCTTGCTTAAAACAATTAAATATCTCCAAGACATCAATGTCTTCTGTGGCCTAATAATTCCAAATTACCCACTTGCCATACACCTCATCTCTGCTGGAGCAGGATGAGACGATTCCTAGAAGAGGAAATGGCTCTGGTTGGTCTTGATTAGTCTTTGTGTACCTGGCCAAATGCCCCCCCCCCTTTCCTTGTATCTTACTTTTCCTGTATATGAAATGGGACGAATATGCCAGACCCAAAACTACCCTAGTAGACGACCATTATGTGAAGCATCCCCTGATCCTTTCCTTAATGGGGGTAAGTATAGATGAGTGCCATCCGTGGTGGGATATCGTTTGTTGTTTTCTCAGCAAGTTGCTGGGGAACAGCAAGCTTTCTCTAAGTGCGAGGGGTTTTCTGGTTAATTTCTCCACCTTACACATGTGAGCCCTAGTTGTACTTACCATTAACTCAAATAGTGACGTGTGTGCTAAATAACATAAGCCATTTCTCTCCCATCTCACTCTCCACACGAGTGGCTCAAATATTAAAGAAACGAGGCTTGTGATCATAAGATAAAAGCTTATCGTGCTTTTCTGCCCAGCCTACGTTCTCGAGTTTTTTGTCCTAATTAGCAGTTAGACATCATTCCCACAATCCACCGAAATAAAGGAGAAGAAGATTTCATTCTTAATCTTGCCCTGTCAAACACTTCTATTTATTCGCTGGCTTCCCCATTTAGGGATCTTTTCCGCGGAGGCACTGAGGCGACTGAATGATGGTTACCATGTTCTCGGGCAATGGAACATCCACTCATCAAACAGAAAATGTTTCAGCTTTTATTTTAAACTGGGTTTGTCTCCATGTGGACTAGCGATTTGGATATCTCCATGCTAATATGAAGGCAACAACCTAGAAATGATGGCACAATAGTTTATCCAGGGATTAGGAAGCCAGGGTGAAAGTGAACTACTGAGTCCTACTTAATCCCACACACACCATGGTAGGTACGGACCCCAACCCAGGCCTTGCTGTGGCCAACACAACAATGTCAGTCCATCTTTTCCAACAGTCCCCGTCCAAGATTCCGAGACTGCCCAGGGGAATCCGTGGTAGGGATGATACAGTGGACAGATGGGTCACTCAGCTCTCCCCCGCTCTGTGTCCAGGGGATGTCAAAGTACAGCTGCAGAGTTTATGAAAACCGATGGAGTTTCAAATCCCCAGGATTCAACCGGCTGTGTTTGTGGCCAGATATCCACTTGATTCTTTGTCCATCACCAGAGATATAACGCGGCAGTGACTCTAAGCTTAAATCTTTAATTTTCAGAAGTCCCTCAAGATTCATAAAAGAATTTTGTGAGTCATAAAGAAAATCAATAAAATGTTTCCAAGAAATTTGAAAGATACTGCAATGAATTTCAAGGGGTCTCGGAAGGCCACCGGCCGGCAGAGGGCTGCTCAAATATACATTATTGAAAATGTAATGGAGACATTTAAAAAAAAAAAAAAACCCTGTATTTTGGACGATTTACCCTTATTGGTTACCCAAGATAGAAGGTTTCTAAATTTACATTTTTTTAAACTGATAGCTATGAATTACTGTTCTGAATAACTTTGAGGTCGAAGGAAGCAATTCTCATTGACCAAAATCAGAAAGGGAGTTTGCTCTCACCCACGCAAAGGAGACTTTTTCCCTTCTATGTATTTTTGAAAGGTATTTTGTACCTAAATAATCGAGAAATGGATTCACGCCCACCAAACTAAGCAAGCAAAACCCGCCGGGAACATTCACACTCTCTTTCACACCTAACCCTGCGCTATAGGAAACAGATGTTTGTAGAAATTTTCATTCCTGTTTGGAATCCATCCCAAAGAAAAACTTGCCCTTCGAAACACTGTAATCAATGACTCTAGGCTGGTTAAGGCTTTGCCCTCGTGTCTGAGGTGTAAAGGGCCTATGATTGGGCAAACCGAAGCCTCAGTTCCCTCTCTTAATCCACTTGCCTCCCATTAGTAAAGATAGAAATAGAGCTAGAGGGCTGGTCAGGCTCCCTTGTGATTCCAGAATCGGATTATTTACGGGGTTCACCTGACTTGCACTAAGGAACAAGCCACAGGGAATCGACAGCTCCCTGTGGAAAGGAATCCAATCGGGGCAAAGATGAGGGTCTGAGCCATTTCGGCTTCCTGGCTCTCCCTCGGGCAAAAGGGATGAAGAATGTGAGCAGAACGGGATCGAAGGAACAGAAACACATTTCTTTGTAATCTCATTCGGTCCTCACAGTTTTGCGACATTAGGCCATACATATTTCTGAAGTTCTCGGTCCTGAAAAACAATACTCGCACAAAGAATTGAGACGAACCGGTCCAAGCTGTAGGAGAGGTCACCTGGGGCAAAGGGGCGTAGGAGGACTGAAGCCATTTGTGGAAAGCAGCGAGGACGGGGACCCCAGAAGTGTAAGGCGCAGTTCAGCAGGTGCGCTCCGAGACGGAGCCGGATTTTAGGACGCTTTGCGCGGAGCAGCTGGCTCCGCAAGGGGGCGCCACCGCCGCGCGCCTGGGACACTCGCGGCTCCCGGCCTTTGCGAGGCGGGCTCCCCCGGAGTCTGAGAGTCGTGGAGCATTTTCAAGTGAAAGCGGAGGCAGGCAAAGCGAAAGGCAGAGAGAAAAGGAGCTACAACAGGAAAGGGGAACCTTCACTGTTCTCACCACCGTGGTGGGTAGTCACAGCCAAGCTCCAGCCTCCTTCACCCAAATCCCACGCCTCCGCCAGACGCACACACGCGCGCGCACACTCCCGCGCGCTCCACGGGCCCCCCAGCACCCCGGAGGAGTGGGCGATGGAACGCACGAGACCGGACCCGCTTCCGCAGCGATTAGGGCGAGGGAAGAAGGACTAGATAGAGGTCCTGGCCAGGCTGGTCGCGGGCTTGAGCAGTCAGTGCCGGAAATCGAAGAAACAAGGTGCAGGGCGAGCGCGGGGCCGACGCCTGGGGGCGCCCGCGGCATCCTCCAGCCCCCGTCCCCGCCACCCCGACCGCCACCCCCGAATCCCGGGGATAGAGTCGAGGGCTCCACCTAGAGCCTGGGCTGCGAACGCCTTGGGCGGCAGGAGAGAGGGGGGCGGCGCAGAGGATTCCCAGCAATAACCGGCCCCCTTCCCCTCCCCATTCCTCCCCTCCCCTGTCAAACTCGGGGGGTCGACTCGGTGTCCTTTGGCATTAGAGAGAAGTGAGCGTGCGTCCTCGGCCGCAACAGTCCTTATACTCAGTGTGCTCCCGCATCCTCGGGAGGGCTTCACCAATTCAAATTCGGACGCAGTCCTAGCGCGTCGGATTCCCGAGGTCTGAGCCGGAGCCTCAGGGAATCTGCGTCTCCAGCAAGTTTCCGAGCGCCGCGGGCGCCTGCTCCCTCCGCACCCGCCGGGGCTGGCGCGGCCGGGACCCGGGCGCAGGGCGCGCGCGGAGCGGAGCGGAGCGGGGCGGGGGTCAGGCGGCAGCGCGGCAGGCCAGCAGCTGGCGGAGGCTCCTGCGGAAGCTGTCGTCCAGGAAGGCGTAGAGGAAGGGGTTGAGGCAGCTGTTGGCGTAGCTCAGGCTGGTGATGAAGTAGGAGGCCGCGATGACGAGCGGCGTCTGCGGGAGGTCGGTGGTGAGCGCCACCACGGTGCTCAGGTGGTAGGGCGTCCAGCAGAGGAGGCACACGGCCAGGATCACCACCACCAAGAGCGTCACCCGCTTCTTCGCGCGGTCCAGGGCCTTGGCGTGGCTGTCCAGCCGCATGGCGCGCAGCCTGCACAGCAGGACGCCGTAGAGGACGCAGATGGCGGACACGGGGATGGCGAAGCCGAGCACCAGCGTGTAGAGGCGGCTCGCCCGCCACCAGAAGGCCTCGGGCTGCGGGAAGACCAGCACGCACTGGCGCCGGCCCTGCTCGTCGTCGAGCCGGGCGAAGACGGCGAAGGGCAGCACGACCAGCGTCACGAGCCCCCACACGGCCAGGCTCACGGCGCGCGCCGCGCGGTACGTGCGGCCGGCCACCCGGCGCGACTCGGCCGTGGCCAGCACCACCAGGTAGCGGTCGGCGCTCATGACCGTGAGGAAGTAGAGGCTGGAGAACGTGTTGTACTGGTCGATGGCCACGATGAGCTTACACATGAGCTCCCCGAAGGGCCACCGCTGCAGCAGGAAGTCGGCGATGTTGACGGGCAGCACGAGCGTGAAGAGCTCGTCGGCGATGGCCAGGTTGAGGATGAACAGGTTGGTGACGGTCTTCGTGCGGGGCG